AATTTAATCTTTTTTATATAAATGTAATCACATTTATTATAGTTTATATTGGTTATTTTTTCTTTATTGACTTTTCTTTAAATTATTAATATTTTTTGTCTCCGTGTGAAAATATAAATTAATTTTTTGGCCAATGAGACGATTCTAGATGATAAAGGTTCTTTATGGAACCACTGATTCCTAAAGAGTCGTTACTTTAAGGTTGTTCTTTTGAGAACTATTCTCAACAAAAACTCTTGTTGTATGGCATTGCTGTGAAAACTCCAATTTTGGAAGCTTTATTTCTCATTGTATGTTCTTATATGTTATTATGTTAGTCGTAATTTGTCCTGATGGATGATGTGGATGTTGGGAGAGCAGTTTAAGTCACACTGTCCCCTGGTGGGGATATTCCCTCACTGCAGTTTCCCCCACCACAAATGAATAAGGTTGAGGACTCATTTAAACTGTTAACATTGAGGGATCTTAAGTGAAGTAAGAAATCTTTGCTGTATACGGGAAACAACACTTCTCAGTTTTATCTCACGCTGGGAACCTTTCTGAGAAATTGGGAAAATACACAGCCGACAGGATTTCCTTGAATAGGTCGGTGGGAACGGAAATATCAAAAGCACTAGACTCGGTTGAACTTTACAAATATCACTGTGTCACAGTACGCCAGGAAATCTCCCCCTGCAAACTCGGCTTGACGGCTGTGCAGCTCTATTGGAGACGGTAAATGCCAGAACGCTGGAAAAGCCCATGCAGAGACTCACGCCAATGATCAGAGCACACACCGACCCCAGTCCTGATCTATATTCACTGACCAATGACACATCTATCTATCTATCTATCTATCTATCTATCTATCTATCTATCTATCTATCTATCTATCTATCTATCTATCTATCTATCTATCTATCTATCTATCTATCTATCTATCTATCTATCTATCTATCTATCTATCTATCTATCTGAAGGATTGAGAAGTAGAGAGTGACAGAAGGATGTCTGGAACTGAAATGGAAAATGTTACATTCAGCCGAGTGTGTACAGCTGAGAGAACTCAATAATGTATAATCATTTTTAAAAATAGTTTTTTTCTTCTGTCCCTCTGGTGCCCAAAGCAATAAGAGACAACAAACAAACACAAACAAAACACGTTGTCCTGGAAACACAGTGGAAAAATGCCTCAGGGTGAAATACAACTTTAAAACAACACGCTACAAAAGCCAGAAATGTATCTGAGGAAATAAGCCATCAACAGCTATTAATGCTAACTAAATCCTTAATGAGATCAGTGTTTTTTTTTTTTTTTTTTTTTAGGTCAAGCATTTTGTAGTATTATAGTAAACATTGACGTATATATATATATATATATATATATATATATATATATATATATATATATATATATATATATATATATATAAACACACACACACACACACACACACACACACACAAACAGTTGAAGTCAGAATTATTAGCCCCCCTTTAAATAGTTTTTTCTTTTTTAAAATATTTCCCAAATTATGTTTGTCTAATAATATTTTTTCTTCTGAAGAAAGTCTTAATTTGTTTTATTTCAGCTAGAATAAAAGTAGTTTTTAATTCTTAAAAAACATTTTAAGGTCATAATTAATTATTCATAAATTATTAGCCCCTTTAAGCTATATTATTTTTCAATAGTCTAAAGAAACAAACCATTGTTATACAATAACTTCCCTAATTACCCTAAGCCTTTAAATGTCACTTTAAGCTGTGTAGAAGTGTCTTGAAAAATATCAAATATTATTTACTGTCACCATGACAAAGATAAAATAAATCAGTTATTAGAAATGAGTTAATAAAACTATTATGTTTAGAAATGTGTTGAAAAAACCTTCTCTCCGTTAAACAAAAATCGGGGAAAAAATAAATGGGGCTGATAATTCTGACTTCATATATATATATATATATATATATATATATATATATATATATATATATATATATATATATATATATATATATATATATATATATATATATATATATATATATATATATATATATATATATATATATATATATATATATATATATATATATATATATATATATATAGCGATATTTTGTTTTTTTGTGATATATATTGCAATATGAATACAATTTCACCAGATGGGTCGAATAGCTCAATTTGGGGGAAAAAATCCTTAAATCAAATTGATCTGGATGCTTTTGTAAGGACGCAAATTATGTATATTAGATAATAATATAAATATAATATATATCTTTAAAAAAACAAAAAAACAATTGTAAGCAAGAATAATTGCAAAAGAGCAAAGAAACATGTAAAATAAACAGTGCTTTATGGTTTTCTGTAGAGTCAAACAGCATTCAGTTACTGAAATTGAATCATGGAATGTACAATTACATTTTTTAGTCTTAATTGCATTAATAAGTCCAATAAGTACAATTATTTATCAATAATGTTACAAATGCTGTACTTTATTGCGCTCAAATGCTTTACACTCGCTTGAAATGTCTTTAAATCACATGCAAGTGATAAAGGTTCACTCTGTTATGGTTATACTTTGCAACGACTTTTGCAATTTTTCTAATTCTAAATGCCTGAAAACAATTTTTGGTGTAACTATTGTTACAATTAATCACATTTAAGTGGGTATCTTTGGTGAATCATAGCAAAAGTTTTAATTAATTTTTCATTATTTTTTTTATATTTATTTTTTCACAGCTTTATAGCTTTGATGTTCTGAAACCCCTTTTCATCTCTGACCCACATACAGCTCAGTATTTTTGTACATTTCCAGCAGAGGGCTCTGAAGTTTCAACCATCAAGTGGGCTCATAAAAGTCTTTCTGTATTTGAATTGTGAAGTGCGAGCCTGAATTTCACACTTACAGTGTACTCCACAGTAACATTAGCTCTGTGTGTGTGGCTAAACTAGCATTAGCCATTAAGACGCCATGCCAGGAATGGATAGCATGTCCAACACAATGCACTCAAAATACACATGTAAATGTCAGGAGGTTGGTTTCCACATTGTAAAACCTGACAACTTCAGAATACACAAAACATGTTGCCTCAAAAACATTTGAGAAAACTAACTCATTTATTTAAGTTAGCTAAAAGTTAGCAGATTGAGGCAACATTTTGATTATAATTTAATATAGAATAAACTAATTTAAGTGATTTATTTGCATAAATGCCACATAAACTCCAATCTTTGTGATCAAGTGTTAGCTACCAATAACATGTGTTGATGTAACAATTAAAGAGACTATTTTTATACACCTGCATGATTATAGGTCATATTATCTGCGGATGAATACAGACTTAAACAAACCCCTGCCTCGGCTCTTCAACACAATGGTAACAGGGGCGAATTTAACTAATAAGCAAGGTAAGGGGCCTCTTAGAACCTCAGGAAATCCGGGGGCCCTCAATAAATATCTAGAAGTATAAATTATACCTACTGTATAAACTATATATTACATTTTCTATCATATTTTGTATAGTGAGAGTCAAACTCTCAATTTTTTTAAATGTAAATAAATATTATTTAGTACAATTATTGTTATAATAATGTAATGTTATGTAATAACAATAATATGAATTCAAATGTTATTACTACATCTGCACAAATTTGTCCACCATCCCCAATCATGAAGCAGTCCAGCAAATTTATTAAAAAAAACATATTTATTATTTTAAGTTGTAAATTAATTTTAATAAAATCAATCATTTAAAATGTAGAGACTACATTAAGATAATATTGACAAAGACAAATTGTAGAAAAGAAGTTTGAGTGATATAAAAACAGCTAAATAAATAAACATGAAATCCGCCCCTGTATGGTAACATTAGAAAACTTTATAAATACCATCATTGCACAAAGTGACAGGCTAATTTATGCCGCCCTATAATAATCCAATATAATATGTTAATCTACACAGTATATAAGTTATTTTGAGTTATTTTACTCAAGTCCTAGTCAAGTCATGACAGTCAAGCCCAGGTAAAGTCGAGTCTGTTTTGGATATCTGTCAAGTCTCAAGTCTTAAATTTTGCAAGTCATGTGACTCAAGTCCCCCCTCTCTGGCTAATAGTGAAGGAAATGTAACTATTTTATACATTCACGGGCGTTGTGCTGGTGCGCGGCAGGCCATTCTCATGGTGGCAGGCCAGATTGACCACCAGGCCACCGGGAAAAGTCCCGGTGCTCCCTATGGCCAGTCTGTCCCTGGGGATTGGTAAAATGAGGTGCCGAATCAGATTTCAGAGGTTCCGGATGTGGCATTTTCCAGCATAAACTAAGCTATTTCAGTGGCTAATTTGAATGAATTCATACAATTTAATTAGTAAAAAACATAGTTTTAGATGGAGGTATCTATGGAGCTATTAATATGCCAAAACAACCTGAACTTGAATTTTGTTCATTTGAAGCATTGACAATTGTAATTTAATAAATCTAAATCTGTATATGCTGTTAAAAATGTTTTGAATTAGAATTTCTTATTTTGAATTTCATAACTTAAATATTGAGGATCTGAAATTTAAGACAACTGAATCTTTCAAGGCTGAATTTTTTTAATAGACGTATTTTCATACTTCAGATTTTTTTCGTTCTGGATTCATACACTGCAGATATCCAGTTTGTAAAGATACAGTTTCAAATTTTCAAGATGAAGAAACAAATTCAAATTCAATATCAAATTCAATATCCTAAAATTCTAAACCAGAAATTCAGATCATAAAATTCAGATTCAGCAGAAAGTAGGTCAGGGGTGGTCAACAAGGAAGAGTAGATGATTGTGATTGTTTGGCATATTATTAGCTCCATTGGCATCCCCTCAAACCTACCCCTCATTGGAAGATGAGTAAATCATACTAAAATGTACAAATGTGATCAAATAAGAGTGAGCCACTAAATCAGAAAGGTTATCCATTGCCGTGAAATCAGATTGGCTAATACCATGTGCTCTGTGTCAATGTAATTTGTGCGTGTTTTGCAGTAAAACTGAAGTGGCGACTGTTGAGACGGAGCTCCTGAGGGACTACCGCTTCGGCCAGCAGCAGCTGATTGAAATATGGGGCCATGCCTGCGCTATTGCCATCACCAAGGTTTGTCTGACACTCAACACAAAGCAAACCAATGTGAAATGTTGTTAAAGCTGTTAAATCCTGAATTTAATTTAATATTTACTGTTTACGAGTTGTTTTTTTACTACTGCTCTCAGCATCAGAACTTCAACCAATCCTCCATAGGGACAAGGCACTGCTTTAAGTGATGAAAACAGAAGGAAATCTTTGATCTGTACAGGGTTCGACTGCTTCTGCTGCTCTGTGGGGTTTTGCATGAAGCGTGTTATAAAAAACGTGCAGCAGAAGGCCATCCAGCACTTTTGAATGAATAATTATATATATGTTTGTGTGTTTAATTTTTGATGAAAATGCATTTTTGGCTCAAGAATTAAAAAAAGTAATTTAGAAGTGATTTATATATATATTTTAATATTATTATTTATTATTATTATTATTATTATTATTTTAAATAAATTAAGTTAGACAGTACTTAAATTTTTTTTTTGTTTAAATTCAGCCCATATCAAATTTTACCCAAAAATTTGCAAATCCAATGAATCATTTTTTCAGTGCACGGGAGTCACAAAAAGTTGACATTATGAGAAATAGTTGCAGTTTTGAGGAGGAAGTGTTGTTGTGAGATTTGCTCAATTTCTACAGAACAATATGCAGCTAAGAAAAACAGTTGCAATTACAAGAAATGTGAGATATGAGTCAGAATAAATCATGATAATGATCATACAGTACAAATAACTTCCTTCCCATGTTACAGTTTTTCTCAGTCGCTCTGGTGCATTTCTCACAACACTATTTACATTTGCACTACAGGTAATGCATTTCTCAAAACAATTAGTCATTTGTGCACATCCTAGCAGTTTCTCATTCCTTCCAACACACTGCAGATTCTTTTGGACATGCATCAATTGCTTTCACAAAACTCTCTGCTGTTTTATAACATTATCATTTGCTTATGTCATGTCAGTCAAAATTAACTAAACTTGTAAATGCTTAATAGTCATTCCATATAAAACTAATAGTCCTCGTTTCATTGCTTGAGTCATTACATACAAAAATTTTAAACTAGCTGTTTAACAAATTTTATAAAAAAAATGTAAATCTTTATTTTCCTGAAAATGCCTTAAAAATTGAACAATTTTATGAATGATTTACAGACCTGTGTTGTAGGTTCAGTTCAAATATGTTCTGCAATATTGTTTACAGTTGTGCACAGCTCTACCCAAAGGAAGTTTATGTTGTAAAGGGTTTATTTATTCTTTTGCACAATGCTGTGACTAAATTCGAATTGCAACGAGCAAATGCAGAAAAACTGTGAAACCTACATATTCAGTGTCTTGTACTCAGATACTTCACTAAATGCAGTGATGTCTAACTTTACTGTAGTTTTCAAACGGCTGTGCAAATAGTATATAGCGCTGTCTTGGGCATTTTCAGGAAGTGTCACCAAAATCTCACTTTTTTGCATTGAAAAAAAATGTACAGAGTAAACTGACATAATGAAAACGTGACTAAGCCATTTGACTATCTTGTTCATAAACAATGATGTCAGGACTTTTCATTTTGATGACACTGACACTTTTGATTGACATGAATACTTGCTTTTGAGGAATGTACTATCCATTTTCAGCAAGTGACACGTTTTTGCAGGTTATCAGCTAGGTTTTGCAGTTTGTACTAATTGTTTTGAGAAACGCATTAACTGTTGTGCAGAAATGCACTAGTGTTGTGAGAAACGCACCAAAGCGACAGAAAAACTGTAATATAATAATAATAATAATAATAATAATAATAATAATACTTTTATTAGAGTACAAATACTTTTCTTCTCATGTTAATTCAACAATAATAATAATTATAATACTTTTTATTACAGTAAAAATAATTTTCTTCCCATGTTAATATAATAAAAATTATAATAATACTTTTATTAGAGTACAAATAAATTTCTTTCTATGTTAACAACACTAATAATAATATTACTTTTATGGTTTGTGGCAAGTATTGTTCACTATTAATAGCAAACAATACTTATGCCTGCCATGACTAAATGACTAAAACTTGTTACACCTAAAATAACTTAATTTATTACTGAAAACTGTCATAAATTAAGTTTGTCAAACTTAATTCATTTATTTAACTTCACTTAATCCACTTATTTAAAAATGAGTTGAAATGACCCAATTCTTAGGTTTTTTTATTTTTTGTAGACAAGCAAAGTTTTTTGTGACAACAAAAAGAATTGTGGAACCCAACGTCTACACTGTAAAAAATGTAGGGTTCCACACAATTCATTCATGTTGTCCCAACACAAATTGATTAAGTTAACGTAACACTTTTAACAAATTTATGTGGATTGAACATAAAAACATTACGTTGTCCCAATCAAATGTCAAGAATTGTGTTGTGTAGCTCATTTTAAATAAGTAGATTGAATAAGCAAAACATAAATAATTTTTTTGAGTGTATAATACGCCGGAGCATTCATCAACAAAGAGTTGAAAATACTGTATAACACTACTTTATGGTTCAAAATCACTAGTTTTTATAGTATTTTTTTATAGTATTTATAGTATTTTTATAGTTTTTTTTCCTGGTGGGTTGTGTTAAATTTAATTAAATTGCAAGATGTATGCCCCTAAACATCTTTAAAAATATAAAGACACTACATGTAAATTCATGTGAAATGTTGGGAAACTCTGAGGCATAAATAGGCTTTCACACAAAAGGTTTACAAAAAAAAGAGAAGCTTTTCAAGAGGGGATCATATTAAATCCCATCTTTACCCCCTGCCCCTCTAAAATCCCATTTTATCCTCCTGCTTAAAAACCCCTCATGACAAACCCAGCACGCCATCCCAGAAGGTGTTGAAAGTCTCCGTTCTGACTCGGGCTTGCAGTATGGCGGTCTCAGGACATCCTGAGGGCTCCGATAGAGTCAGGCCAACCCAAACCAGACTACTGCGGTCAGCGCTCCATCTGGATCCAGTCAGCCTGACAGGCAGCGCGGGGCTCCTCTTGACCTACCTGAGAGTTGCTTAAAGCCCCAAATTGCTTCCTGATTTGGCCCGTGTGAAGTTTTCTAGTGCTTTACAGACTTGGTTAGCGTCGACAAAACTTCCTGCGCTGTGACCTTTGTGAGGTCGCCATAAATTGTGGCTAGAGAAAACACAGTAGCCGGTAACTGCGAGAAGAGCATTACATCAGCACAGTTGTGTGTGTGGGGGGAATGTAATCTTGGTTGTATTTTACCACAATGTGATTTCACAACCAAACTATCCAGCGCAACGGACGCCAAAGTCAACGTCACCGTCTACATCGGGGGGGAAAAATGCTTTGGTGTTGCGCTACGTCAAGGCTGATGTCTGTGATCACTCCCTGCTTTGGATATCAGGAAGTTATTTTTATCACCGGGGGCTCATGAAACGCTCTTTGTGTTTCTAGAGAGAAAAAAAAGCAGAGACTGACATGAAACTGTCTGTGAGCTCACTGGCCTTTATTTCAACATGGTTACATGATAAAGCAGAATAAATAAAAAATGTGAGACCACTGTCTATAGAAATTTGCTAAGTATGACCAAATTAATATACTGAAATATCATATATTGGAATGTTTATAATGAAAATGACTGTTGACTGTTTTAGTTTAATTTTTGTTCGTTTTCATACTATCATTATCATAATTAATAGAAGTAAAACTAAAGTAAAACTAGTTTTAGTTTTAAAGAGCCCCTATTATGCATTATAAAAGGTCATATTTTAGGGGTCTTCAACAACAGGCTGATATGCATGCAAGGTCAAAAAACACTTTCATTGTCTCATAACAAGCATTTTTTTGTACCTAATTATAACAACGACTCCCATATGATCCATTCAGTGATTCATTTGTTCCCAAACCCCTCCTTAGTGGCAAGCTAATCTGTGCTGATTGGTTCGATGACCCAGTCTCTTGTGATTGGTCGACTGCGTTTAGCACAAGACAGAGAGAAATACCCACCATGGCTATGAAGTAGCACACAGAGTACGTGATAGCCCAACTCAGGAATGCAAAGAAGCAATGCATTTAAAAACTAGGATATACTCTATTCTTAACCCTAACCCCTAGTAATTAGAATGACACATGTACACAGTGGCAAAAGTTGAACAATTTTGAAAATTGACCATGTGTATAAACAGCTGATGGTGGCCATAGCAAAGGCAAACGGCAGAGGATTGCGAGTTCAGAAACGCATTTTAATCAGTAAAAGAATTAGCACGCATCACGTTTTTAACGTGGTTTTGGACGCAATATGTGAATAATCCCATGAAGGTTTAACCTGAGTGATTACTCGCGCGGAGCGACGACAAATAACACACACTTAAATAATATTTTGCTAACTACACAAAATGAGGCAACAATTTTGACACATGTTATGATCAGGAGGAAGAAGAAACTGGTCCAATATGAACTGTAACAGTAACTGACAAAGTCCCTTCCAAAATAGTCTCTGCTGCTCCTTCTTTTAATAGCAAACGGCCGACGAATCCCGCATTGCAGCGTAGGTTATTTTATCAAAAATCAGATGACAGGAATGACAGGAACAAAGACAGAACTAGGTTGACTGTGGTGTTGTTGTGAAAATGAACTTTAACCCTTTATTCCCCACAGCCAGATCTCCATCTGTCAGTGATCGTCATCTTTGCGTCATGATCAGTCCTGTAATCCCCAGCTCTCTGCTAGTGTTTAAAGGAAAAGGCGCGTTCATGTTTTACCGGCTCTGACACTACCGATATGGTGATGTACGGTATTGACATCGACGCGTTCAAGCAAAAGATCCGAACCCAACATGATTCATTTATTCGACTCTGAGTCAACTGTTTCGTTAAAGACTCAATAGTTTTAAACACGTTGCACTTTCAGATTTAACCCTCCACTGGATGTTTTCATTCACTTAGTGTTGTGTTACACACTGCATAGAAAGTAATTTTCAAAAACCCATAATAGGGGCTCTTTAATATTTAGGGGCTGGTGAAGACAATGTGCTTT